ATGTATGATACTAGCCATCTTTTTTTCCCCAGGTGGACGAATCAGTGATAGCAACTCTATTAAACGTGTACAGCCACCACCATAATCGTTCTCAAATTTTCCGTCACTATAAACACTCAACACAAACTCCCCCTCTCCTTCTCGATCGTGGGAACCACTCATGTACTTCTTCCTCTAGACAGTTGCCTATTCTCATGGCTGCTTTTACATGAGATCATGCAATATCTATCTGCCCTTTTATGATGGACTTGGGGTTTTCAACATGGGGCCCTGGGTAGTGAAATGGTTGTGCTTTTGCTGCGATTCCACAAGGTCAGCAGTTCGAAACCACCAGCTGCTGCTTGGGAGAAATATGGGGCTTTCTCCTGCAGTAACCAGCTACAGCCCCCAGAACTCACAGAGCAGTTCTATCCTGTGGACGGCTTTTAAGGCTCATCCGTGTTGTTGTGTGGAGCAAGACTCAAACTTTCGTTTCTCTTTCTGGGAGGGCAGCGCCCCATTCTAGTATGTTCACTCATCCTTTGTTTACCCTTGCATCTGTTGACGGGCACTTAGGCTGTGTCCTCTCAGGAGAGTTCTTGACAGGTTACTCTTAGCTTTGGAAAAAATTGTGAAATAGAGACTCACCCCCCTCAAGTCGACCTCGTCCCCAATGTCTGTTCATTCTATGGGGAAGTCTGCATGAAGCATCTTTTGTGTGCCCGGCACGGTGCTAGATGTGGTGAATGGGAGCTTCTCATCCCAAGGAGCACACAGTCTTGCCGTCTTCCTGCCTGGGTAACTTCCTTACTGATGACCAAGGGGACTGAGGTCTGTGAAGGACCTCACATGTGACCCACGAGCTACATCCTTCTGAGGGAATCGGGAAGAGAAGCAGAGCTTCAAGACTCAACAGTGAATGTTCTTAGGGTACTTGTTGGCCGAGGCTGCCCTTCTTGGGAAGGTGGCCCAAGCAGGGCTTTATATTCCCACCATCAGGATGTGAGAATGAGGTCAGGAGGGACGAGCAAACCCTTCCAGCCACAACTCAGGCCCTCTTCTTTCACAGGGATGAAACTCCACATAGTTCCTTGTTCAGCCTCCAGGGCTGGACTGCACATGAGTCTTTTTGGACACTAGGGCATCTGTCTAGGGAAACCCATGGTACCTCTGACCTGGAACGTAATTGCAACTGGAATGTCTGTCTGCCCTCCCTGAGGGAGATCCAAGATGGCCTGGTTATAGCTGCGGTCCACACCTTGGTGTATGTATGGCTGGATCAATACCAGGCCGGCTTCTAGCAGCAAGTGACCTTGAATCTCCCCCACCCATGAGGAGCTGACCAGAGCTGGCTATTGGAGCTGACCAGAGCTGGCTATTGGCCCACTTTATTCTCGACCTGCCGCTCTGCACCCAGCACCGGCATGGCCCATTTGGCTCAGTGCCCACTTTGCTCTCGACCCTCCACTCTGCACCCGGCTCGGCCCGTTTGGCTTAGTGTCCGCTTGTTCTTGGCCAGCCGCTCTGCACCCGGCACTGGCAGGGCCCATTTGGCTTAATGCCTGCTTTGTTCTCGCCCACTGCTCTGCACCCGGCACGAATACACCTGGAACCAGGAAGACACCTTACATTCCAGAAACCTGGACATACCTGTCCATATATAAGCATTATCCCTGTAGCCTGCAGTGTGACTCCCCCAGCCCAGATGTTGTGGACTGTGGGGCTTCACCCAGGCTGGGTTTTTCTCCCTAATAAAGCCTGTTTGTTCTAATTCGACTGATTTGGTTTCTGGCGCCTCTCGACTACCTTACACTGGGTACATCGATGTTGCCTCCTCAGACCCACTCATGGACTTGACCTGTCTCCAGGTTCCCTCAGCTGCCATGTCCCTCAGACGAATGTGCATCCAGTCCCTTCCTGTCAGGCCCTCTGCTGGCAGCCCTAGGCTTTAGGCTGACCTTCCCAGGGGGCATAGGGACCCTTCTCCCAAGTCTTCCCACAAAAGCTTGTGGGAAGCTTCACTTCTTTGGTATCTTAGGTTGGCGCCTGGAGCCAGGCATGAGAACACAGTGGTGCAAGATGAATGGAGTCTCCAAACCCATCTTCCACACACCCACTTGCATGTGGTCTGCACCTTTGATATCAGCCTTATATGGACTCAGGTTGAACATTTTCACACCTGAGAAATGGTCCTTCCTAGGTTTGAGGAATCCTTGGTTTTTAGAGGTTCATAAGCCGTGGGCCGCCCTGGGTGGTGCAAATGCTTAACTCGCTACTAACCAAGAGGTTGATGGTTTGCGTCTATCCAGAGGTCCCTGAGAGGAAAGGCCAGGCGATCTGATTCTGCAAAACCTGCCCTTGAGCTCCAAGGGCACAGGTCTCCTCTGACACTCATGACTTGAAATCCACTCAACAGCAACTGGTTCTAGAGGAGGGGGTGCTGACCCTGCTTGTTGCCTGGTCACTGTGCACTGTGTCCTGCAGCTTCGGCCTTACCCGAGAGAAGGAGCCCTTCTTCCCTCTGGTGGGTCTGGGGATCCCCAGGCCCCGCCAAGCCTTCTCAGATCATCTCGGGTGACCGCTGGGGACCAGAGCACCCTGGCCTTCCCATCTGAGGGTCTGGACTGGCCCCGCATCTCCTTCAGCGTGGGTGCTTTTGTGGTTCTCAGAGGGCGCTGTCTTTGGCGTCTTCTCTGCCCTGAGGGGCCCCTGCTCCTGGTGCCTTCCTGAGCCCAAGTCCCTTTATTCTTGGCCGCAGGGCAGCCCGCTCTCAGGAGCAGGCTGTCTTCCTAGCAGCGCATAATTCCCTCACTCAGATCCGTTTTATACAGAGAAAAGTGAATTGCCGCTTTAGGGGAATTAAAAAAAAAGACGAACTAATTTTCCCTAAGTTTTTAACGGTTGATAAAGGCTTGCTCTATTAACCCTCCCAGGGGCATTTTCATTTAATACAGGAAAGAGAATGCTTTAATTAAAAGAAATTCCCAACGGTCGACTCTCTGGCAGTGTGTCAGACTGATGAGGAGGCAGTTTCGAGCACGAGGTTTTCTGGAGTTCCCTGACGGTGGCAGAGCCCATCTTTGGGAAGACAGCACCTGTGTCTGCGCGTGAGCCGCCTGTTCAGCATCAGCAGCGCACAAGCCTCCAATGGCTGCTGGGCGATGGCTGCTCGTGAGCGGCGTGGGCTGGGGAACTCAACCTACACACCCTGAAGTGAAGAACTGGTTTTTTTTTGAACCACTCGACCCCTTTCTTTCCCTTTAATGGTCTTAAAACCAAAAAACCCAAACTCACTGTCATCTCTACTTGATGCTGACTCATAGCAACCCCAGAGTTCAGGGGAGAAGCTACCCCTGCGGGTTTCCAATACGGTAACTCTTGGTGAGAGTAGAAAGCCCCATCTTTCTCCCTCGGATTGGCCGGGGGTTTTGAACGGCTGACCTTGTAGCTAGCAGCCAGACCCCGAACCCCTATCCCATCAGGGCGCCTAGTGGTCGTAAGAGGGACCTATGCTTAGGCTGAAGAGGTGGTGGCCCCAGGAAACCAAGGGAACTGTGACTACCCTTGAGTTCCACAAGGAGATGGGCCCGGTGCCTGCTGGCACCGGGGTCATAGAGAGGCACTGGGCTGGAGGAGGCTTCTGGTTCCACTTGAGATTTTGTAGCTGTGACCTGGAGCTGACCGAGAGGACACTGGCGCCCACGGCAGCTCCATCCCTGTGAAGGAGGAGGGCCTGAGTTGTGGCTGGAAGGGTTTGCCTTTCAGACCCCCGGGGGAACCTTAGAGGTGTTTGGGGCTGGAAATCCCCACACCTGGGTGAGCCACTTGCCTTGGTCTTGGTTGGGATCATGGTGCTGTGGTCTCAGGTGTGTGCCCTCCTGTTAGTGTTCATGGCTTGAAGAAAGGGGCTCTGGCAGCTTTGGGAAGCTGCTGACATGGAGTAGTGCCCTGGGGCGTCCAAGCATCCCACCTCCTCCTGTCTTCTAGGTGTGGGTTTGAGAAGCTACTCTCCTTGATTGAGTGTCTGGACTTGTGGGGACAGAACTCATCCCTCCTGACCTCATTCTCACCTCCTGATGGTGGGAATATAAAGTCCTGCTAGGGGGTGGGCAGAGTGGGGAGGGAGGGAAAAATGAGGAGCTGATACCAAGGGCTCAAGTAGAAAGCAAATGTTTTGAGAATGATGATGGCAACAAATGTACACATGTGCTTGACATACAATGGATGGATGGATGGATTGTGATGAGTTGTATAAGCCCCCAATAAAATGATTTAAAAAAAAACAAAGTCCTGCTTGGGCCACCTTCCCTGTTCCCTTTCCCCCCTGCTTCTAGACTGGGCTCTGTGGCAGCTGGGGTGGTGGAGCAGTGGGCGGTTCCCAACTACGGCTCTGGAGGACATGGCACACTTCCAACCGAAATCCGGTCTGAGGGCAGAGCAAAGGGCGGTGGTCCAGGAGAGCGAGCAACAGTAGGGAGGGCCTTGGGGACATTTGCTCTGTGGTCCCCCAAATGCCAAATACCAAATGTCAACTACAGACCGTCACCACCCATGTGCATGGACCTCGTGCTGCGAGTGGCCCAGCCATGTGGCGTGAAAACAGAAGAGCAGCAGCCCGGTGTAGAACTGGGTTTGCCTGGCCCATAGCACAGCCCGGGAAATGGACAGGTTCAGAGCCGCCTCAGAAGAGGTGGCTGTAAGTAGCCTGCTGCGTCAGGCTCTCTGGACGAATGTGGACGACCCCAGGGGAACCCAGTCACAGAGAAGCACAGCCTTTGCTCTTGCAAATCACTTTTAATGAAGCCGCGGCAGCGGACTATACGGCATGACTCAGATACACAGCCGAGCAGCGTCTAGATAATGAGATTCCTGCCCCCACTCCTTGGAGGAAGAGTAATAAGTACTTTTTTATGAATACTATTAAGAAAAGGGGAAAATCCAAACAAAAACGCCATGAAACATTTTCTAGAAGACAGGGTCCAAGAGAATCCGGAGGGGGGGGGGGGGGGCGGACAGGGGACGGGGACTTATCACCAGAAGCATCAGAAGCAGTCTCGGGAGAGGGGTCTCTCCAGCCTGACGAGGTGGCTGCAGCCCCTGCCCTGGCCATGCATGTGGGGCTGTGAGAGCAGCAATCAGAACACAAAGGGGCCTGCAGGGCATGTGGACGCTCTCCAGCATCACGACCCCACTGTTGGGGAGGATCCAGTGGGTGGTGTTGCCAGTGGGAGCCTTCTGGTCCACGGGAGGCAGAGAGTTCAATCTTGAAGAGGGAGGGAGAGGATGGGTGATGAGGAGGAGTAAGAACACCGGGTCTCCGACAGTCTTGGTGACCTGGGAAGAGGAAGAACAGGGGTCAAGCTAGGTACCGAAGAGGACACAAAACTGTGAAGGGCTGGGATGGCGCTGCAGCACCTTGGGGCTGTCTATGCCCCATAGACTTCCTTTTACAGAACGCTAGGAGCAGATGGGGCTAGGGATGGAGTAGAGGCCCTCGCCATTGCCCTCGGGACCCTGGGGTGTGGGTGGGGGGAAGCCTGTGGAGCCAGGACTGGGGCACAGTAGGAGTCTGTCTGCTCATGACTGAGTTGAGAGACACCCTGGGGCAAGAGGTGGAGCAAAGGGACAGGGGCCTCCCCAGACCCTGTCTGGAGAGAGACACCATAGAAGAGCCCAGGGCTTAAATTTCTTGTTTTCCCCCATCCAGGGCCTTTGATGTGGCTTGGTCTCGGTTTCTTCACTTGCCAAATGGGGATGGTAACCACTATTCTTCCCATGTGTCAGGGGAGCCATGGCTCGGCTGAGGCGACAGGAGTGAGTGCACTGCATTGGAAAAATGTGTTGTGCCCTTGCTGTGCACGAGAGAACTTCTCACAGGAAGAACTGGAGGAATTTGGGGGCCCCGACTTGGGACTTGAACACAAGACCCTGGGGGTAGGTAGGCTTGGCTTCCGGATTTTGAGACTCATTCAAGACCCTCCCCCAGACCCTCCACTCAATTCCTAGCCAACACGTCCACTTACCTCATCGAGACCAGAGTCGCAGCGTCATGAGCAGGTTAAATCCAGCTACTTTCAGGAGAAGGATCCGAAACCCAATCACGGATAAGTTTTGAAAGTTTAGATGCATATCTGTAAGACCAAAAGAAGGCGAAACGGTTACAGGCATGTAGACCTATGACACACCGATGGCTTTCCCCAGTGCCAGGTTGGGGGTGGGGTGGGATGGTGGGGAGGGGGACCCCAGCTCCTGGGTGTGCCTCTTCCTCAGTGCCTCTGTGCACTCCCTTAGTGGTTTGTTTCCCTCCTGCTCAACAGTTGTTCATCTCAAAAGAACACTGCCTCCTGGAGGGATCCTTATTTTCCCGAGTGGGGTGGGGTGAGGTATGGGCTCTGAATGTATCTTTGCTCTATCCCTCAGTCTGGACCCTTTAGTAAGCATCTAGTGGCTAAGCCACCGGAAGGATGCTTCCTTAGAAAAGCTCAAAGGGAAAGAAAAGGGCTCAGGGTAGGTAGTGTGAAGGGGCTGGGGGAGCACCTGAGAGACACCGTCATGGCCCCTGTAACTCCCATAACTTTCTTGAAATAAGGCAAAGAACCCTGGATTTGGAGAGCCGATGGCCTCGGGAGATTAATTTTAAAGTTGCACATACAATAAACCCAATAAGTCCTATGCCATCGAGTCGATTCTGACTCATAGCGACGACCCCTTGTAGGACAGAATAAAACTGCCCGATTGGGTTTCTGAGGCTGCAAATCTTTAAGGGAGCAAGCAGCACAGTCTTTCTCGCATGGAGCCTTGGGCGGGATGGGAGGAGGCGCCCAATACTTAACCTACAGGACCCCAGGCTCCCAGTAGGTAATAGAGCCTCATTTCATAGATGGGTCAGCCAGAAGTTCCCCTGGTTCCCCTGCCCGTGGAGTACCGAGAGGAACGGAGAGACCCGGGTACCAGTCATCTCTCTGGTCCACTTAGAGACTCATCCTCAAAGTACTTAGAATGGAAAAGAAAATGAGGGCTGGTGAGAAAGAAAACTGCTTGAGAACTCAAGAAAGACCCCAGCCAAGGCCGAGCAGGACTGAGCTGCTGTTCTCATCCCCCATAACTCTAGGCTCAGACCCGCTACCTCCTTCCACCTCCCCTATTCAGTCAGAGTTATTCTGGATTTATAGCCCCCGCCTTGTATGAAGCCAAGCCAGATGCTTCTCTTACCTGTTTCAAAGCTTTTCTCTACCAGCTTGGCATCACAGACAATCCCTAAAAACAGAAGCAAAGACATTCCTTAGAATCCAGAGCTTGGCTAAGGCTGCCCCACCCCAGCCCCTGGCATAGTGTATGGGCACAGTGAATGGTTGTTGAATGAGTGAATGATGTTAGGAGCGGGAGAGGTCTAATGGAAGAGAGAGAGAGAGAGAGAGAGAGAGAAAGAGAGAGAGAGAGAGAGGGAGAGAGAGAGAGAGAAGTTCTCATCTCTCTTGTAAAAAGGCCATACCTCCAAGAAGCAACACCAGGCTTCTGATTGACAGGTTGGACGCCACTTCTAAATCCATAGAAG